CCAATAATAGCACAAACTACCTGTGACCAACGAACAGAAAATATTTGACAAATTGTTGTAGAGTAGTTTTCACTAAGGGTCCAACGTACAAAACATTAGGAACTTGCAATAATAGTTAATGATGCAGCAATCTAGTTGGGGTGGTTGATACTTCAATGTCCGACATCGACTGACTCACTCAACTCCACTGAACTCAACTGGCGACTGCTACTACTACTACTACTTATGTGTGGGAGAGTCTATTAATAATAGAATAGGTATGTTCAGGTATAACACAAATACTTGTCAGTAATACAAAAAAAATCTACTATATAAGATGTAAAAATGATTACAAATTTTGGAAGCCTTAACAATAAAGAACAAAATTGGCATCAATAAGATTACATTCAGTCTAGCAGGGAACAGACTAAATATTTTTTAAAATTAGAAAAAAAACAAACAATATGACACCACAAACTAACATGTGAAGATGTGATATTTAAAGCAAATCAACATTGACACCCTCTTATATGTGAAGATGTTAGACTTGAAAACAACCAAAGAAAAACATACCTTTACAAATCTATCAACCCACAGAAAATTCTTTCATGATTGTTTATGAAATCCAAAAGCACCCAGAAGAAATTGGACAATTTTATGTTCAAAATCTGCATAGGGACCAGAACAATGGTCTAAGACATAGAAAAGTTAATAAAAAAGTTTCATTAGGTTTCAACCAAACCTGCATTAATGAAAAACTGCTGCCCAAATACACCTTATATATAATAAGGTATATATAGTACAGGTAGCAATTACGCATCCAAACAAGTTTAACTATAAAGAACCAACAAGGTATGTTTAATATTTTTATCATATTTTTCCAATTTTCGAATATGATGTTATGTAACAAAATCAAAGCTATGCAAAAACTGACTGAAGTTCATGTTTGTGCTGTTGTTTTGTTCAGTTACTTTCAACCATCTCAGTCATTTTTAAGAACCAATATGGTAAGCAGAATTTCATTGACTATATATATCCTGATTTTTGATGGGCAGCTGAAAGTTTGAAATAGGCTACGGTGACATCATATATAAAAGTTATTGGCTGTGAGGTCACATCAAAAAGCATACCTTTTTCATATATATAAAGTTGGTTCACTGTGTTATGCTAGACAATTTTTCCCTTCTACATATCTATAAGTACATGCTTTGAATATTGCTGCCACATATAGTCCAGTGCTCCTGCTGTTTGTTTAGAGATTCGTGATAAAATCTCAATAAGTATCAGCGATATTATTGGTCCTGATCTGGCATTTCAGCTTTAGTCACTTACCCACCACTGTAAACTTACTTCCCTGTGCCTTTTCTATAAATACTTTCATGGTAATTATTTTGATGAGCTCTTTATTATGGTACCTAGACTTTCTGAATTTAAGCGCAGTACTAGATTGGCAGAAAGGTCTCATCAGTTTACAGTTGAAATGTCTAAATGTAACCATATGCTCTATACTAATAGTTTCTTTTCTCATGTTTTGTGCTTGTTGTACTCTTTTCGATTTCTATGCTTTCCAGTTAACTTGAATCTTCAAAAATTTAAATGCATTGTCAATCATTATCTACTGTCTTCCTGAATCCTCTTTTATTGCTATCATTCCTTAGTAAGGTTTCTGCATTCTAATTTTTTCACACCCAATAACACTTGTGTCTTAGTGGCTTTAATGCCTTGCTTGGGTTTTGGGGTAAGTGTGATTTAATAAAATATATATTTAAGAAAATGGTAAAATGCAAACCAACCTTACAACCTGATTTTCGATCATAATGTCTTCTCAGGCAAGTGGAAGGTTCCTTATGGTTGAAACCTGGGTTGCCAGGTTGGTTGGCATTTTAGCCTTTTCTTAAATATCTTAACTCTACATATTCGATTTTGGCTTTTGTATTTAGCACTTTTTTGTTGTCTATACCTTTTAGGTGTGGCTGATTTCCTTTTATATTTCAATCCCTATATATATATATATATATATATATATATATATATATACCATTAGTTTTAATTTCTATCCCTATATATATATATATATATATATATATAATGATACATTTTTTTTTCCTGTTTGTGAATGAGGATATAAATCCAGGGAGAGCTCAATGTAGACTACAGAGCATTAGGATAATAAGAAGATGGAGACTTTAATTAGCCATTTTATTTATAATTTTTATTTCGTGAACACTGAGATACATATAGTCTTCCTTTTACATTTTTATATATATATATATATATATATATATATATATATATACACACACACAAAGTCTTTTTACATTTCTATCCCTATATATATATATATAAATTGTCTCCCGTCGAGATTCAACGTATGAGGGTCAAGCAGAACAGTTTCCAGGAAACCGACAGCCCGACACCGGCACATGAGATTTGATTATAGTGGTGAAGGCCTCATGCAGGACCATCCACACTTTTTGAAGGGACGAATACAGAGACCTGGTGCACCGAATGCCACAAGGTTTCCAAACGACCCTCTGCATGTTTTGAATTCAGAGTTGTCCTTCTCCTAGACTAGTTGCCATCCAAGGCTATAGAACCTAGTCTATCCTGCTATTTTACCCATAGCTGGAGGGAGAGGAAGAGGATTCATACCTTTCCCACGGGCATTAGCATATTTCTTGAATGAAGAAATGGATTCGACTGAATTTTGAACTCGCTCATGATTCCTCAATCCAAGCCACTATCCATTACTCCACCATTCCTCCTATATATATATATATATATATACACACACACACACACACACACACACACACACACACACACACAGAGAGGGAGAGAAAAAGGATGTACATTTGTGGTGTTAGTGTGTATCACTATGAAGTCTGGGCAATTACACCTCCATAGGCACAACTGTTTATCTTTATATAGCAGAGGCAAACACACACACACACACACTGCATGTTTGTCTTTAATAATTCAAGATCAAAACAAGAAGATAATGAAAGAAAATATTCTCCTCTCAATGGAAATATTTAATGTTATTTTTCCACCATTTTTCTTTGCTATTTTCCACTGCAGCTGAGAAATGCTTAGCAAAGCAACAAACTGTGTTATTTTGAGCAATGATTTGATCTGTTTCATTGGTCCTCTTGTATTTGTGATGCATGACACACAAGTGAATCCCCTTGAAATAAAATAACCCCCTTTTTTTTTTTTTTTTTTTATTATTATTTCTTTATTCCTTGCCAATTTCCAATGCAATTGTTGTCTCATTTTTTTTGTTTATTTTTTTAGGGTTATACTTCATTGATGTTTTTGTTTGTTTTTTTTGGACAGTGTATTTATTTCTTTTATTTTGGTTGTTCCATCAATTTTGTTTTCTCCTGCAACATTTTTTTTTCTTTCAACACTTTTTGTCCAGAAATTTACCCTCCAAAACTTTGCCCTTCAGTTGTTTTTTTTATTTCCATGTTTGTCAACATTTTCTCTTTCCAACATTGTTTCCTTTATTCTGTCCTTTCAACAGTGTTCTTTTTATCTTTTTACCTTCAACATTTTATCCTTACAGCCTTGTTTTGTTTATCATGTCCATCCAACATTTTTGTTTTATCATTACCTTCCAAAATTTTATCCTTCCAACATTGTTTTCTTTATCATGTCTGTCAAATATTCTTTTTATAATTATCTTCCAAAATTTTCTTCATACAACATTTTTTCATTATAATCTTGCAACATTTTGTCCTTGCAAAGTTTTCTTCATTACTTTCCAACATTTTTTCATTTTGTCCTTGCAACATTCATTACTTTTCAACATTTTGTCCTTGCAACATTTTCTTCATCATTACTTTCTAACATTTTGTCCTCAGTTATTTTTTATGTCTTAGAATATGACAATTTTGATGAAAATTTTTCATGACCGATGTCAGAATCAAAAGTAATCTTTTTATGTAAAGTTAATTAAAATTAAACTCTACTAATTAAAAATATATAGTAAGGACGTTTTGGTAGCCCAAAAAGAAAGCTGATGAGTTTATATGAAAAAAATTATGTAAAATATATTTTAAAGGATAAGTAGTTATTAGCATTGTTATTTGCAGTCATACTAAAAAAAAAAAAACAGTACAAAAAGAGAACATGACAGGAAAACCCAAGTCAATTCTACCCTTGTAGATTACATAAAAGGTTCAGTTCAAAGTTCATTGAAAATTAACTGGATCACCAGACACCTGAAGAAGGTGTGTGTGGGGGGGGATGCAGAATATCTGAAATGCTATGATAACAACAACAAAAATGAGGATATTAGTTTGATTGTGATGTAAATTTTAAGGGATTTCAGCTATCCAGATTTGCTGTTAGAAAATGAGATCCATTCTCTCTCTTGGTGCTTTTGGCTTCACAATGTTTTCAGTTACCCTTCTCAAACAACCAAGCAGGGAGCTGACCATTTATCTTTGGAGAAAATGTCAAAACTAATTTTATGCAAATGTGCTGTTTCTTTGAGTCTTATTAAATGCATATTAATCCAAACAGCATAACTGGAAAATTATCTTGAGATCTTTTAATAGGTTTGTAGTATGAAACTATAATTTCTTAAATCCTATTGCCAGTCATATTATAAGAATCTCTCCAAGCACTTGACTCATAATAGAAATTTGATAAATAAAAGAATTATGTTAATTTTTATGGTGTAAAAAAATAATAAATAAAAGAATTATGTTAATTTTTATGGTGTAAAAGTGCTGGACAGGATAAATGGCCATTCTATTTCACAAATTTGATTGATCTATTTTTTATTACTTAAAGCCAAAAAAAATCTTTGAATTATAATAATTTTTTTTTGAGATTTACTTTTAAAAGTTCTATTAATTAACCCATAGTTAGGAGAGAAGAGGTGGATTCATACCCTTCCTAAGGATATCTGTAGGTAAGTGAATATAACGAACCCAATTGGAATTGAAACTATGTTTTCCAATTTCCTAATCTGAGCCATTACCCATTATACCACCTGAACATCCAAGCTTACGGCACCTGGTATGCCGAAGCAGTCACCCATCTAGGTACTGACCAGACTTGATGCTGCTTAACTTATGTGATCATATGAGAACTGGTGTTTCAATGTGATATGGCCATAAGCCTGTATTTTGGAAAGTCCTTGGTAAGAAATGATATATTAGAGAATTTCTATCTACACTCAAGTCATAATAGAAATTGATATACTCACATATTCACTCATTTAAAACAATTCTTTTATTCCTTACTTATGATCCCCCACTACAAGGCTCAAGAGCTACTCAAGGTAGAGAGTTACTGAATGCACAATGAATGTAAATGTAGAAAGTGAAGATTTATGAAGATATGGATGAGGAGTAACAATTGACCATTGACTTGAAGAGGCTAAGATTGTAATATTAGCGGAAGCAGTCATGTACTAGCCTGTTTGACAAAGTAACGGTTCTTGAGAAGCATTCATGTACTAGCCTGTTTGACAAAGTAATGGTTCTTGAGAAGCATTCATGTAGTAGCCTGTTTGACAAAGTAACGGTTCTTGGGAACCATTCATGTAGTAAACTGTTTGACAAAATAATGATTCTTGTGAAGCATTCATATACTAGCCTGTTTGATAAAGTAATGTTTCTTGGGAACCATTCATGTAGTAGCCTGTTTGACAAAGTAATGGTTCTTGAGAAGCATTCATGTAGTAGCCTGTTTGGCAAAGTAACGTTTCTTGGGAACCATTCATGTAGTAGCCTGTTTGGCAAAGTAACGTTTCTTGGGAACCATTCATGTAGTAGCCTGTTTGACAAAGTAACGTTTCTTGGGAACCATTCATGTAGTAGCCTGTTTGACAGAGTAGCGTTTCTTGGGAACCATTCATGTGGTAGCCTGTTTGACAGAGTAATGTTTCTTGGGAACCATTCATGTAGTAAACTGTTTGACAAAGTAATGTTTCTTCGGAAGCATTCATGTAGTAGTCTGTTTGACAAAGTAATGGTTCTTGAGAAGAAAAGTCAACTGTGGACATAGCAAGGTGAGTCTTAGCTGTAAAGGTCTGAACTGGGGAAACTGAAGAAGAGAACTCAGCCTCACATTTGCCATGGAAATAGTGATAGACGATCTAGCAACAGGAAAATGACTGCAGGATGGAAAATCACCCCCCTACAAAACCACATAAATGACTTTGAACACTATCAAAGCTGGAAAGTGTGGGTTGGGCAGCTCCAGCCGAGATATAGCAACCATACTCCATTTTTGTTTTAATAAAACTCTTGTTAAAATAGTGCCTGGCAGAAAGAGTCAGATATTTTCTGGAGTGGGACAATGAGCTGATGATTTTTGTAACTTCTTTAGTAATGGATTGTATGTATGTTTCACTTGAGGTCTGGAGTAAACTTGAATCCCATGAGACATTTAGAGCAAGGGTCCTTTTTGAGATATCAGCCATTCACCAAGGCTAGAGAAAAATTGGAATTTGATTGGTGATTATGAAATTATTCTAAGTTGGTTTTTAAGGTCCTAAAAGTTACAAGCTAGTTTTTTCTCCACTGAGCTGTTTGTTTGAAATAATTTAAAATGAGCCATAATCTGAAGGTAGACTTGAGTTTCTTGATCTTGAAAGGTTTTATACTGCTTGTGATATAGCATTAATTTTAATTGTGTATTGCTATAAATAATCTTTGTGAAGCCACGGTAGTATTGGCAGCGGAATTGATGAACTTTACTCACAGTGGTAATTTTTTTTTCTTTGTCTGTTAAGATATGAATGAATAAACCCAAACTTGAATATTATGTCTGAAGTCATAGTAGTAGAAAGAAACTGATATGAGACTGTACACAATTTGAAGTGTGTGGGGTTAAAGGTTATTCATGAAATAGACAGATTATCTTGATTTGAGATGGAAAACACAAAAAGCCCTCCCCCAAAAAAGAATGGATAAATTGAAAATGGAAATTTCTGGCGAGACATGTTTTCAAACATTGTCTGTGCAAAGATATTTACCTTCCTCATCCAATTCTCTTGATTGTGTTAGCATTCAGATTTTATGATTCTGAATAAATATTGGTCTGCTTTGAAAAGGAATTAAGATTGTGATAAACAAGTGTGGGTGAGTGTTTGTGTGCGTACACAACTGTGATTGAGGGGGTATATTGTAGGAAGCTATGTATGGCTTATAAGTTGTATGTTCCTAATAAATAATGCATTTCTACCTTGTTTATTATGCTCTTTGTGAAGGGAATTTTCTCCTAATGACATGTGTTGTTTGTGTGTGTGTGTGTATATATATATATATATATATATATATATATATAATAAGCACAAACAAACACACCTTAGATATATATGGGTTTGTAAATACAAAATTTGGTTTTATATATGCATATGTGTATTTAACTGTTATGGTCCAGGTTAGGACCAAGGAAGAACAACACAAACACGAGAGTAGAAATAACGAAGGTATATTACATGAAATAATAATACAAGATGTGGAAGGTGTTGGTATGATTGTCAGTCTGGTTTGGAGTGAACTACTATCGACTCGACTCGATTCGACCCTCTCTCTTGAGGGGCATAGTATACATAATGTTAGGAAGAGTTCATTCTGTAGTTATAGGTAAGGACCCATGACATTAACTATACGTTCATATAAATGCATAGGTATCTGCCTGCTCATATACATACATATATAAATATATGCACACATAGTGGTGGTGAAAAATTATTGGTTGAACTCAGTTTTAAAAATCTGATCAAATGACCAAACCTTAGAGATATAAATATTTTTTTTTGTAATAGAAGATCCTTTGGGTCAAGCTGATGTCTTTTCACCCCCTATCCCCTGTACACACACACACACACACACATACACACACACACACACACACACATATATATTATCACTTTAAACATTATTTTTAGTGGATACCCATACTTGAGTAGACACTCTGTTTATTTATTAAACAGTACATTTATTTATTTTCATCTACTGGCCTGGATATTTGAGAAATCTTAGTAATGAAAAATATATGCTCTCCAGCAGGACTCGAACCTGCATTTGACTTTACATGAGAACCCATTATTAGATCTAACATGCTTTAGACCATCTCACCCATGTGGGGAGGGGGCAGTTTCTCCTGCAAAGGGAGATGCATGTTTGAGTCCTGCCAGAGAGCACATATTTTTCTTATTAAGATTTCTTGAATATATATATATATATATATACATACACATATACAAGTGTCTTCTTTGCTGGGCTTATTGAATATATAAACTGTACAAAAATTTGTTGGTTTCAGCAACACTGTTAGGCATTTTCAAAAGCACTTTTTTTTGTTTGACATCATGTATTATAATAGTTTAAGTTTTGTTGTAGATTGTATAAAAGTTCGTTTAAGAGCTTCCATTTCTTGTAAATTGTATAAAAGTTCGTTTAAGAGCTTCCATTTCTTACAAAAAGCTTTTAAAATTGATGGATGCTCTCATTATAAAAAACAAGGAACAAATCTTTAATAACTTTCATTATGAACATGGCCACAATGTACTGGTCATATTTGGAAACTAAGGCTATATCTACTTTCATTAACTTTTATGCCATCCACAACAGGACTTACACACAATTTATTATTATAGTGTAACAAAATGAAATCCTAGACAATAGCTCACAATTTAGCCTAAATTACATCCCATATAAGTTCTGTCTTTACAATAGTAAATATGAATAAAAACCTCAATAAATACAATTATATAAAATTAAAAAAAGATAAATTTAAAACAAAAAGGAGGAACAAAATATATTCAATACCCAACAGAAAGCTAAATTAATCAGTGCCTAATATTTTCAGTATCTGTCTAGTGGATAGTCTGTTAGTTAGATCCAGTGACAGGACCTAAAGAGTTGTGAGTCCAATACCTGGTTAAGGCAGTGGAGAACTTGGAGAGGGAAATTAACAGGAGATAACTGATAATTGGCATTCATTAAACATGGCATGTGGACCTAGAAGAGTCTACCCCAGTGAGTGAAATAAAGGGTTTAGTTTTACATTCCAACCACCTGAAGAAGGCCGGAGTGTACAACAGCTGAAACGTTGTAATAAATATGATGACAAAGATGAGAACAATAGTCCGAATTATGTAAATAGTGTGACTAATATTTTGTTGAATAGCTCTTTTTTGCTATAACAGCCTTCAGTCACTTACTGTAATTAGCCATTACCTTCAAACTTAATTCTGCTGGTATTTTGGACCTGTCTTTTTGCAGACATTATTCAATTGATTCAAACTATTTGGCTGATGTGTTTAGATACTGATTTATTTTCCACAATAAATTTTTGGTCAGAATCAGGTCAGAGGTTGATTTTTTTTTTTTTTTTTTTTTTTTTTTTTTTTAGTTTTCAAACCACTGTCTTGTTGCATTGGAAGTATGTTTATGTATTGTTATGCTGAAACACCCAATTGTGCTTCATTTTTAAGGCCTTGACTAATGTAAACAAATTCTTATTTAATACATCTTAATAGATTGCGACATTCATTGTTCTTTCAATTATGCAAACCTCTATACCATTACTTTGCCATCTTACAACTGGTATTGTCTTCCTGAGCTTGAATTCTTCATTCTTCTTCCCTCAGACTTGATGGTATGAATAACTCCATCATGGTCATCAGATTAATGAATATTCTTCCAGCAAGTATCTGACTTAAATAAATGCTCTGTGGCAAACTTCAGACATGCCTCCATATATGGTTTCTTCAAAGACTGTGTTTTTCATGCTATACAAGATTGCAAGTTCTGTTTGCAGTGTGTGTTGCTGATGGATAACTATTGTCCCACAGTTGTATTATGACCTTTACAGGCCTCTAGGCTAATGAAATTATGCCCCACCTACCAGATGGAGCAACTGTCTAACTTACCTGCACCTGTCGAGAATTTTTTTTTTTTTACTTATGATATATTTTAACAACATTTATATAGCTTGAAGTAAACTTTACACTATTTACATTATTCGGACTATTGTCCTCATCTTTGTCGCCATATTTATTACATTTCGGCCATTATATGCTCCGGCCTTCTTCAGGCGGTTGGAATGTAGAAACGAACCATTTATTTCACTTGCTGGGGTAAACTGTTCTAGTTCCATG